TGAATGTGAGAAGTAACAGAAGCTCAGCAGCAGGTCAGTGGGTAATGGCAATAACAGGCAATCCAGTCTTACCAAGTGAACTCATGGAGGTGAATGTACTGGACTCATCCTCTGTGAACAGCTCTTGAAGTACTTCACCAGCCTTTACTTTTGCTGGACTATAGCCATGAATAAGAAAATAAGCCACATCCATTTTCGAGGTGCTTTGTTTATCAGGAAGCTATTATGTTTGTGTCTCCTGATTCAAGGCATTTCACTTGTCACGATAGTGTGTTTTGTAGTCTTTCACAAGAATCGTTTTATCTTTCACTATTTCCATTGTGAATTTTCAGTGCTGCCCAAGTAGGGATCAAGAGGCTGGGGCCAGACTCTTCTCAGTAGTTCCCAGTGACAGGACAAGGGGCAATGGGCACCAACTGGCACCCAGGAGGTTCCACCTGAGCAGGAGGAGAAAATTCTTTGGTGTAAGGGTGGCCGAGCCTGGAGCAGGCTGCCCAGAGAGGCTGTGGAGTCTCCTGCTCTGGAGAGATTCCAAACCCACCTGGCTGTGATCCTGGGCACCCTGCTGTGGGTGACCTGCTGGAGCAGGGGGGTTGGACGAGATGATCCCCAGAGGCCGCTTCCAACCCTACCATGCTGAGATTCTATGAATTCAGCAGCTTCTGAAGGTTTGACAATTTTAACCAAATATGTCAAACCTGTAGCTTTGCGTGCCTGTGGTTTTCATGAAAGCCAGCAGTGAAAAAGAGAGACAGGTTAGTCTGAGTAGAAAGCCTGCACTGTGAATTCAGCCATACTATTGGAAATAAACTGTGGGAAAACTGGTATCTAAATAATTCTCTAACAAAGGCTTCTTACACTTGAGGGTTTGATAGTTTCCAAGGTTTCCAGCTGAAAGATTACAGTATGGAAAAACACGTCCCTTGGCACGCTGCTTATCTCTGTTGCTTTCGTTTCCAAAACAAGTTGTGCTTTTTTCAAAAGCAATGCCAGGCTGTGTAGGAGCTGTAACGTTTTCCTCCTGTTCCAGTTTGCACAATGCTCTCAAATGTTAGTGCCCAGTTTTAGTTTCTCACGTCCTGATGATTTCAGCCCTAACAGTTGAATCCCAGCTTTTTTGACAAGCTGTCTTGCTGAGTAGCTACCACTGGAATCAAAAACTCTGATTCCAAATGACTTTTGAGAATCAAGCCTTTTTTGTATGACTTCAAGAAGCAGGGAGTATGTGTAATCTTTGTAAATAAACCATGTCTTGTTTTCTTCTAACTTACACCAGGTTTACTGGGAAAACGGAGCGCAGATCACCTCTCCTCACGATAAGGAAATTATAAAATGTATAGAAGAGTGTGTTGAACCATGGAATGGCTCTTGGAATGAGAATCTAGTAGACACCAGTCCGCTTAGACAGGATCCTCTGAAGAAAATCTGTGACTGTTACATGGAGGATCTGAAAAAGATCTGTTATCATAGGTATTGTGGAAAACTTAATGTACTTAAATGCTGTTTTTAAGTAAGCTCTTGGTTATATGTGGAAAACCAACTGCTGACAGATAGACTTTACTATTAAAGTGTGTGATGCTGCCATAGAGAAACATTTTTTTATTTGGATATAGGGATTGGGCTGTTTTTCCAGTATTGTAATAGTTTTGGACCTGCCTGTAGTGACTTTTGTCATCACAAATGAATGAGTCAGTTTCTGCCTTTACGGTTCACAGAAGCTGGGTGCTCCTCTCTGCCCCAGACACCACTGTCTGCTTGAGGCCTTTGCTCTGGGCTCTTCACAGTGGGAATAATTTCTGGTCACCTCCCCATTCTGTCTCACCCCATCCCTTCTCTGATGTGTCCTTAAATTAGCTGGTCACCATCATTAGGGCTCAACAGTACTTCTTGACAACAAGCCAGCTTGTCTTTGGACACTAGGCTACAGTACAGCTCCCTGGTGGGAACCTTTTCATGCAAATGAGTATGATCTGAATAAAATGCAGAAATTTAGAGTAAAGGTGAGGTCTACATGCATGGACTAGAGGTGAGAAGGTTAAGTTTAAAGGTTATGTGGGGCAGAAGACAAGAAAACAAGGAGGAGGATGTATAGTGTAGGTTGAGCAGAACCAGAGTAGGATTTTCAGGGTGCTGGAAGAGCTCGAGTATGATGCAGAAGTTAACAGTTCATTCCTGGAAGACTTTCAGCCAGTTCAGCCAATTTGGAGACTTCCAAAATCCACCTGGATTCATTCCTGTGCAAGCCCCTCTAGGTGAGCCTGTTTGGCACAGGGATTGGACTAGATGATCTCCAGAGGTCCTGTCCAACCCCTACCATGCTGGGATTCTGTGTTTTTCCAGGAGAAGAAGCTTTAAACCATCAGTTTCTAGTGAAAGTCTAAATAAGCATTTGTCACTCCTTCCTTCTTTGAAACTAATGCACTAATCAGCAGAACAGTACAAAGTGTAGTTGCAGTGTCTTGTGCTTTTGCTGAAATTAGATGTGTTAAATAACTGAAATCTTACTGAAATTCTTTTTTGTTTTCCTTCTCAGGGAGCTAAACATGCAAACAAATTTGAAGTTTGTTCATACCTCTTTCCATGGAGTCGGACATGACTATGTGCAGTTGGCTTTCAAAGCATTTGGCTTTCAGCCTCCCATTCCAGTACCTGAACAAAAAGATCCAGATCCAGACTTCTCTACTGTCAAATGCCCAAATCCTGAAGAAGGAGAATCTGTGCTGGTACTTTTTTTTTGTTTCTACTTCATCAGATTTCTGTGAGCTTTCCTCTGGATGTGAGACTGTGTTGAAATACAAGTCGAGAAGGAGAACAGGGAGTACCTGGCTTTGAGCTTTCACACAGTGGGGAGTCCTTATGAGATTTTCTTTTTGCTGCATGTTATATATAAGTAAGAGACTATGGTTTATTTACTCTTATGGTTTTCTTTTATTTTTTTCCCCCCTCTTCTCCCACCAGGAGTTGTCACTGCGGCTTGCGGAGAAAGAAAATGCAAAAGTAGTGGTGGCCACTGATCCAGATGCAGATAGACTGGCAGTGGCAGAACAGCAGGAAAAGTGAGTGATGGGACCTTTTATTTTATCTCTTTCTGCAGGAGAGGGAGTGAAAATGGCCAAACGCCTCTAAATGGTTGACAGAAACACACCTTCAACTCACTCTTTCTTGTTGTGACTTAGCTATTTCGGTATTTTTCTTGCTAGCTTCATCTTTGGGTATAGCCCCACCTGAAATCATCTATTTTAAATAAAATCAGTTAACTCAGAGAAAGTTAAGTACTTACCAGTGTTACAGTAGATGACCAAAGAAAACTGGATGATCCTTAAGGTCCCTGCCAACCCCAGCGATTCTATGAACCTGTGGTTTAACTGAAAAGTCACTTGGTTACTAAAGACAATAAAATCTTGCTATTATTGAGTTTTCATTTATGTTAGACAAATTCTGCCTTGGGACAGTTGTGGGCTTTTTTGGGGGATTGGTTTTGTTTTGATTGTTTTTTCCTGGCTTCTTCATATTGAATAGAAATTATTTTTCTCCCACTGACAGGCCAAAATTCTGATCGTTGTGTAAGTAACTGTCTATAACGCGCAGTTGCTCAGGCATTGCCTGGCTGCAACGTATAGACTGTAGGCTCTGTACCTCTGTCTGACAAATGACAAGCACCTAAGCTAGTTAAAAGCTGGTGGTGAGGATACTTCACTTGTATCTTTGCTTGCTAACAGAACGCATCGGGCTTGTAAATCATTGAGACGTGATAACTGTGGAGTCCTGTTGGTACAGTGGCTTTGTATAGAGCAGCTTATCAGTAGTGTGCTCAGATTCCTGTTGGTCCAGTGACTGCATAAAACATCTCCCCCCATGTGGATTCTCCTGGGAAACCCAAAAGAGCTCTTTTCTTTTCTGTCCTCTCTGCAGTGGCTGCTGGAAGGTGTTCACTGGGAATGAGCTGGCAGCTTTGTTTGGGTGGTGGATGTTTTCTCGCTGGAAGGAGAACTGCTCTGAAGACGCTGAGGTGAAGAATGTTTACATGTTGGCGACCACGGTCTCCTCGAAAATTTTGAGGGCAATTGCACTTCAAGAGGGATTTCACTTTGAAGTAAGTGTGGGTTTTATGATATTGTCTTGGGAGAGTAAAATCAGATTGCCATGTTGCCCACCACCCCATCAGTTACAGCTTCCCTCTCTAGGAACAGAGAGGTGGTCACTGCCCCATCCCTGATACTATTCCAGGGGAGGTTGGCCGGGGCTCTGAGCAACCTGCTCTAGTTGCAGATGTCCCTGCTCCCTGCAGGGGGTTGGGCTTGATGATGTTGAAAGGTCCTTTCCCACCCAAACCATTCTGTGGTTCTATGACTGTGTGAAATGAAGACTAGACAGGTGACTTCCACTCTTTGGGAGTTCTAACATGTTCTAGCTTGCAGAAGATGCTGGTTTGCTCCAGACGAGGTCTCAGCATCTGCAGCATTTCTCATTGTACATTATGATGAATGCAGACTGAGATCAACTTACTGAACACTGCAAGGAGGCTGTGCCAGGTGACACAAAACCTATATGACATCTAATAGAAATGCCTTTGTCTTGGTTATTTTCCTAGAGGTAAATTCTTTGGTGTGAGAGAATGAAAGTGCGTGCAACTTGCTGTGTTTACCCCAAAACCAGAGTGTGTTTAGATGGACTTGTGACAAACTCTTACAGGTTACACAATGTTCCTTCAGGTGCCAACATCACTAAGAGGTTTTAAATTGGGCTTCATTTCAAATTGTGACAGCCAGAGTACTCTTGTGTTCAGCTCTTTAATGTAGTCTCATTAAGGGCTTGCTGAAGGAGAAAACGGAGGGTGCCTATGCAGCCTTTCAGTTATTGTTTGAGTCCCTGCATTCAGCTCACAGACTTGCTCTGATTTCTGCCACTTGGCCTTTAGCTATATGAGATGCAAGTGCTCTAAAGCTTAGCACAGATATACAAAGATCCAGGTCGTGTCTTAATTAAATCTGTGTGCAAGAGGAAGAATAGTTTGCCAAACAATGAGGAATTACAAACATTACAATTCAAAGCAACTCTGAAAACCATGTTGAGGGACTATGCAGATGTGCTTAATCAGGTTCAGTGTCACTGCCTGGGAGTGCATTTCATTATCTCATGAAATACTACCCATATGTTTGGGTTTTTTTTTTCTGGAAAGGGACACATTTGACTGAAAAAACAAGCTAGGAATTTACAGGACTCCTTGGTCTCCCCTAAAAGCTTCCCCTCTTTGTACCTTCCTTCTCTCCAAGGATGGCTTTTAAGCTTTTGGCTGCTTTTATGTGATTCTCCGAGCAGGAGCAGTGCTTTTCCCTCCCATCACCCACAGCTGCTGGCTTTATTTCTGTAACTTTTCTTTCTGAGTGACTTTGTACTGTTGTCTCATCTGATAAGCACCACAGAAGGTCTTATCTGATCTCAGAGAGAAGCAGTTTCTCAAACACATTCCTCCTTCCTTTGAGATTCCTGTCCTAGTTGAGTTGGCACTAGTAAAACACTGTCCAGTGACTCTGTGCCTTAGATTGGTAATCTAAACTGGGGACATGACTTGTCAAATATTTCTCTTTTTCCTGTCCCTGTTCTCTTTGTCACTTCATTAGATTGAAATGTTGGGAAGTTTTTTCAAGAAACTCAGAAAAAGTTAAGCTTTAATGTCCTTAAGCTTTAGTGTTTTGACTCTGCAACAGTCTTTCCCATTCACTTGAAAATTCAGAATTCATGATCCTTTCCCCCTTTCCCCACCTTTGCCCCCTTGCCCCTTTGCCCTTTTCTCCCTTCCCCTTTTTCCCCTTTTGCTTTCTTTTCCTCCCTTAACTTTCTATTTTCCCTTTTTTCTTCCCCTTTCCCCCTTTCCTTTCTTTCCGTCCCTTTCTTAGTCTGAAGCACGCTGGAAGTGAAAGGAATAGTGGCTACACTTTCTGCTGTGCCTACAAACTACATTGAAAATATTAATTTAGTGCACTTATGGTTTTTTGTTTGTTTGGTTGGTTTTTTCCTGTTTCAGGAAACACTCCCGGGTTTTAAATGGATTGGAAGTAGAGTGAAAGAGCTCCTGGATAATGGAAAAGAAGTTCTATTTGCATTTGAAGAGTCTATTGGTGTGTATGTTAATACCACTTTAAAATGTTGAGAGATGGGGGCGGGGGGAATTCAAGTAAGGAGGAGTGGCCTTAGCTATGAGACAAATACAGAAATGCTTTATTTTTGTTCTGGTAGTTACTAGTGTTGGTATTTTGCTCTCATCATATCAACTTGCCAACTACCAGAATAAATGAGATAGAAATCTCTGACTCTGGTGCAGTTTCCTGATATAAACCTGTTCTGATACAAGTTGAAAGTCCTGAGATGCCAGAGCTCAACTACACCGAGGTTAAGCACAGGATCTGTCCTTGCTCAGTTTAATATCTCCCTGGTCCTGTCTGTGAGGATTCACTGTTAGTGGCTGCGTGGAACTGGGAGGCTGTAGGAATTCTCCCCTTTTTAGGATAAATGACAGCTTTCTGGGATTCACAGATAATTCACATTATTATTCCCAGATAATGTGGCATTTGAAAATGAAGTGTGTGCTGAAGAGGGTGTGTGTCCGTGCCAGTTTCATTCATAAAATTAATGAAGCTTTTAACTCTAAGGAGTTAAGATCTTGTTCATGCATCCTTTAGTAAGAAGGTGTCTTGGCAGTACCGTGGAGCTCTGGTTTAGGGGTTACCAGTGCTGTACCTGTGTGCTGGGTTTCTTTGGTTTGAATTCCTGGCAGGACTTTGCAGTATCGGTGTGCTTGCACAAAACAAGCAAATTTTTATATTTAGCACTGCACTAGGAGAGAATTCCTTGGGGAGCAGAGTCTGGAATTGATTGATTAGAGCATGTAGCTTTCCAGCCCTATAATCCCTAGGTCAAATAGCTTGCTTAGAAAATGGGAGTCATGGAATCATCTGGGTTAGAAAAGACCTTTAAGATCATGGATTCTGAAGTTGACCCAGCACTGTCAAGTCCACTGCTAACCCATGTCCCTCAGCACCACATCTCCACAGCCTGGAAACCTTTCCAGGGATGGGGACTCCACCACTGCCCTGGGCAGCCTCACACAGCCCTGCACAACCCTCAAGGGCAACAAATTATTCCTAAGGGACAACCTAAAGCTCTGGTGGTATAACTTGAGACCATTTCCTCTTGTCCTGTCCCTTGTTCCTTGGGAGAAGAGCCCAACCCTCACCTGGCTCCATCCTCCTGTCAGGGAGCTGTGGAGAGCCAGAAGGTCTCCCCTGAGCCTCCTTTGCTCCAGGCTCAGCACCCCCAGCTCCCTCAGCTGCTCCTCACCACACTTGGGCCCTTCCCCAGCAGCCTCATTGCCCTTCTCTGGCCATGCTCCAAAGAAGTTCATATGCAGTAATAAAAACAACTTATGTGTATTGGCCTGTTTTCTTTTACAAGAAAAAGGTTAAAACTTAAGTAAATCAATATAACTGTACATCAGATTATTTCTCCATAACTGATCTTTGATTTCTAGGCTTCATGTGTGGCACCTCGGTGCTGGATAAAGATGGTGTAAGTGCAGCTGTGGTCATAGCTGAAATGGCAACTTACCTGGAGGCCCAGAACCTCACACTAGCACAGAAACTCACTGAAATCTATGAAACGTAAGTTCTATTTTTCATTAGTAGTTCCACTTAACTATTTCGGAGCTGGGAATTATCAAGTAAATATTTTTAATGCATCCCTCAGATATTTTCTCATTGTCAGTTGTTTTTTTCTAATGCTTTAATGGACTACATGCTTCTGCATTGCAGGCACCACTTCAATTATGGATTTCCCAAGGGACTAAAGAGGCCCTTTCTATCATGTTTCAGCAATAAATCCAGAGTAAAATTTTGTATCTAGACTCACCAGAGCAAGCTTTTCTCTTACTTGATTCATGCTGTGTTACTTCTCTTGTGATGGGGTCATTACACCTTAGTTGTGGTCTGTGTGTCTCTCTTTAAAACACTGTTTTGGCTTAAACATGGCCTGGAAATTGTTACAAGATCTCATACAGTTCTTGCAAAGGTTTGTAACAGAGTGGCAGTTACGGAATGGCCTCTGTTCAGCAGCGATGGGCACAATCCTAGCAGTAAAGTGAGGAACGTGTTTATGTCAGATTTAAATCATGGACTGTGCTGAAGCCTGTTCCATCAGCAGAAGTTCTTGTGCTTTAAAGGAGCGGGCAGCACAGTTACAGCAAATCGTGGTGTCATTGAATTGTTTGGGTTGGAAGAGACCTTTCAGATCATGAAGTCCAACCATCCCCCAGCACTGCCCGGACCCCACTGACCCATATCCCTCAGAGCCACAATCTCCACAACTTGGAAACCCCTCCAGGGATGGGGACTCCACCACTGCCCTGGGCAGCCTGGCACAGCCCTGGGCAACCCTCCAGGGCAACAAATTTTTCCTCAGGGCCAACCTAAAGCTCTTGTGGTGCAGCCTGAGGCTGTTTCCTCTTGTCCTGTCCTTTGTTCCTTGGGAGAAGCGCCCAACCCCCACCTGGCTCCATCCTCCTGTCAGGGAGCTGTGGAGAGCCAGAAGGTCTCCCCTGAGCCTCCTTTGCTCCAGGCTCAGCACCCCCAGCTCCCTCAGCTGCTCCTCACTGCACTTGGGCTCTAGACCCTTTCCCAGCAGCTTCGGTGCCCTTCTCTGGCCACACTCCATTCCCTCACGATCTTTCTTATCCTGTGGTGCCCAAAACTGACCCCAGTCCTCAAGCTGTGGCCTCCCCACTGCAGGGGGATGATCCCTGCCCTGCTCCTGCTGGCCACACTGGTGCTGACCCAAGCCAGGATGCTGGTGGCCTTCTTGGCCCCCTGGGCACACGCTGCCTCCTCTCCAGCTGCCTGTCCACCAACCCCCCAGGTCCTTTCCCTGGGGCACTTTGCAGCCCCTCTGCCCCAGCCTGGAGCATTGTAAGGTGAATCAGAAGTGGGGTTCCTTTTCCTGCAAGCCCTACAGGAGGACAGGCTGCAGCCCCTCGGGCTGAGGGGGCACCAAGGATGGTCAGTGGTTTTCTCCTCACAGCACTCAGGAGTCTGCTCTGTGCAAACTGTGGCCAAACCAGTTCTTCCCAACCAGACTGCAAACCTGCCAGTGCTCACAGGAGGATTCAGCTTCCAGTCACACTTCATTTTTTTATGCTGTGGGGAAAAGTCTGTGTCAAATGAGGAGTGGGTGGAATAGGGTGGAGAACAACTTGTAGCTCCATCATGCAGACGTGGTTGCTGCACCTAGTGAGTGCTTGAATTAGCTCTGGTTGGGGATAGAAGCTTTTAAGTTGGATGAAATATTTATAAAGCCATAGAATCATGAAGGTTGGAAAAGACCCCTGAGCTCATCAAGTCCAACAATCAGTCACCTTCCTCGGAAGGTGTTGGAATAATCGGTTTCTGTGACTGCTCTCATGGCCACAGGAGCTGATTTTTGATGGTGTGGGAATAATGCTGCATATTAATTTCCTGAGAGCCACTAAGGCTGTGTGTAGCCAAATGTTGGCTTTTAATTCTTTGGAACTGAAGCCTCTGCTTGAATTTAAAAATAGCTGAAGACGATCTGAGTAATGCAGTGAAATCTGCTTCAGAGCCCAAACACTTGCCTATAAATATCTGTTTCCACAGCTGGGAGAACCATGTTCTGTTCCTGTTATTGCTTTTCCAAACAGAGTCTTTCTTCAGATAACAAATGTTCAGAAAACTTCTGAACCTTCTAACTGAAAATGTCCCTCTGCTTGTAGGTATGGATATCACATATCAAAGACTTCCTATTTCTTGTGCTATGATCCTCCTACTATCAAAAGGATATTTGAGAGGCTTCGGAACTTTGATGCTCCTCAGTCGTACCCAAACTTCTGTGGTGTTTACAACATATTACACGTCCGAGACGTTACCACAGGCTACGACAGCAGCCAGCCGAGTAAGAAGTCGGTGAGTTACAAAGTGCTTCTTGCAGGAGGGGGTCTGGGTTTGAAGAGAGTGAAAGTTAAATACCCCAAGAACTATGCAGGAAGATGTACTATGTCAGCCAAGATGGCAGCTGAATTACCATTATCTATTCAGACTCCTTAACAGCACCTACTGGGGAGAAGACCGCAGGGTTCCATGCTGGGACCAGTACCGTTTAATGCCTTCACCCTCTGCTCTGCTCTGCTCTGGTGACACCCCACCTGGAGTGCTGGGTCCAGGTTTGGAGCCATCAGCACAGGAGGGACATGGACCTGGTGAAGCAGGTCCAAAGGAGGACCACAAAGATGATCCAAGGGCTGGAAACCCTCTGATGTGAGGCCAGGCTGAGAGAGTCGGAGTAGTTGATCCTGGAGAGGAGAAGGCTTCAGGAAGACTTGGCAGACTTCCAGCATCTGAAGGGCCCTACGGGGAAGCTGAGCAAGGACTGGTTACAGAGAGTGTAGTGACATGACGAGGGGCAATGGTTTTAAACTCAAGCAGGGGAGATTTAGATGAGACATTAGGAAGAAGTTCCTGAGTATGAGGGTGGTGTGACACTGAACCAGGCTACCCAGAGAGGTGGTGGAGGCCCCATCCCTGGAGACATTCAGGGTCAGGCTTGATGGGGCTCTGAGCAACCTGCTCTAGTTGCAGATGTCCCTGCGCCCTGCAGGGGTGTTGGTCTGGATGACTTTGAAAGGTCACTTCCAATACCTCTTGGCACCCTGGGCCATGGTCTCACCACCCTCAGCATTAAAAATTTCTTCCTTCTCTCCTGTTGCAATTTCCCTCTTAGAGTTTCAAACCATCTCCCCTTGTCCTGTCCCAACAGCCCCTGCTCAACAGTCCCTCCCCAGCTTTCTGATAGGCCGCTGGAAGTCCTGGCAGGCCCACAGAAGGTCTCCCCAGCTGGAGTCTTCTCCTCTGCAGGCTGCCCAAGCCCAACTCTCTCCTGCTGGGCTCCCAGCAGAGGGGTTCTCCCCTTGGGTCATTGCTGGGGCTCTTCTGGCCCTGCTCCAGCAGGTCCCTGTCTCTGCTGTGCTCAGCTAGATGATAGGCCTGTCAGGCCAACGTGACCTGCTCTAGTCTGTTGCTTTGGCTGCTTGGTGCAAGCTGCTGGGGATGTCAGTGGATTTGTCCAACGTTGTATGGACAGAACGTTGCCATTTTAAAAACAAACCCCATTTTTCTGTTAGCTGAGGTGTGTTGTCTCTGCAGGTGCTGCCACTGAGTAAGAGCAGCCAGATGATCACTTTCACGTTTCAGAACGGTTGCGTTGCCACCCTCCGGACAAGCGGGACGGAGCCCAAGATCAAGTACTACGCAGAGATGTGTGCGCTGCCCGAGCAGAGGTCAGTAGCAGCAGGTCCTCAGGGCTGGCAGGTCAGAAGGCAGGAATGGCGTCCACCCCTGATGGGAGATTCCTCTGTTGCCTCTGTGGAGAGCTGACCCTCAGCTGACTGTTCCAGCCTGTTCACCTGGCTGGAGCAACGCACGTTCCTGCTCCTAATGGATCCTCTCTGTAGCAGATGAGACAAAGAACTGGACTTTGAACATCTGCTACAGTAGGAGACTTCTATGAACACAATTTCTCATTCACTTAGGATTAAAAAGTGGCAAAGTTGTGCTGCTGCTGACAAATGTGCTTAAATACAGGTGGATTCCTCATCCATTTGGGGAACATACATAGAATCACAGAATGGTTTGGGCTGAAGAGACCTTTCAAGGTCATCTAGTCCAACCCCCCTGCAGGGAGCAGGGACATCTGCAACTAGAGCAGGTTGCTCAGAGCCCCGGGCAACCTCCCCTGGAAGGGTTCCAGGGATGGGGCAGCGAACCCCTCTCAGCGAAACCGGGGCCAGGGTCTCACCGCCCTCAGTGTCAAACATTTTCCCCATCCTTGGAGGGGTTTCCAAGCTGTGGAGATGTGGTGCTGAGGGACATGGGTCAGTGGGGACCTGGCAGTGCTGGGAAAATGGTTGGACTCAATGACTTGAAGATTTCTTCCAACCAGGTCTATTCTATGATTCTAAGGTATAAAAAGATCTGCAGGAACTTTACAAGACATTCCATTCCATAATAGCTTTGCAAATATTTCTCTGAGTAGCTGCTTACTGATTTTTCTTAAAAGCTGAACATCAGTAAAATCACTTTTATTGCAGCATTTTGGAAGGTTTTCTTTAAAAGGAAGTGGCGACCTGAAGGGAATGATGTGTTGCCAGTTCCACACATGAACAAAGGAAATGTCACTAAGCCTGATTTGCCTGTTCTTCATTAAAACGAGACCAAGGTCCTCTCCTTCTGGTCAGACTTTGGGGGCAGGAGGGGCGTTCTGAGTCCTACAGGAGCATTGCAGTCCAACAGTGCTCGTGCATCTTGTGGTTTTACTCCAGTGAACATCTGTGGATTTAAACAGAGTAATGATTACTGTCTTGTGGTGTCCTCTCCTGAGCCCTGACACTTTTCGCAATGACTCAGTCTCCCTAAATTCCACTTCTGTCAAAATAGTCAGATCCTGCAGATGAGCATCTGGACAACGTGTGGAGAAGAATAGATGGTGCCTACCTCTGCTGTTAGGAGCCATTTCTGCCTTTTTAATCCCTTTACAGGCTGTGTCTGACCAGTCTCGCACTGATTTTGCAGTCATGAGTTCCTGTGTTCCCTCTGCTAGCCCAGAGCCATCTAGTGGTGACCACAGAATCATGGTGGGGTTGGGAGGGACCTCT